CATCGCAAATCTCTCTCTCTCTCTATGTGTGTGTGTGTGTGTGTGCGTGTGTGTGTGCCCCCCCCGATGCTCCCCGTCACGCTGGTGAGGCATATCAGGAAATACACAGTGATAAAGGGGCTGCAACATCGCAAATCTCTGTCTCTCTCTCTTTGTGTGTGTGTGTGTTTGTGTGTGTGCCCCTCCCGCTGCTCCCCGTTACGCTGGTGAGGCATGTCAGGTGTCACATGATCTGCTGATCGGCGGCGTCACCAACAAGAGGCAACCGCACCGTCTTTTCCAAAATGCAAGAAGCGACTCCGAATACAAAACTGGCTAATAAGAATAGGAAAACCGTGTTGTAGAAAATGACGAAGAGGCGAATAGCAAAGCCACTAGAGGGACTGATTAATCGCTCGATGAGACGAGGGAGAATCAGCAGGATGTCGAGAGTGATGGCTTGCATAGTGTTGAAGCGGACGAAGCAGGAATAGCGTGTGTTCTTCACAACGACAAAGTAAAGCAAGAAGAAGGGGATGAAGCTGCCGAAGGGAATGGAGTTATAAACTGAGACAACGGACGCCAAAGGAGTAATCATTTTTCGCATCAACGGGAACTCGCACAACAGATAGCGACCGTAATCCACTCCGTCCAAAAAGGGCAAGAAGTACGCCGTTGATGCGATGATCTGATCTCCGTAGTCTATGCTGTCACCTCTCTTTGCCTGGGGAATGATGGCACCCTGCTTTCTCTTGCTCTTGAGTCTTCGTTTCCCCCGTCCTTCTGAATCCGACAAAGGGAACCTGGAGGAGGACAGTTTGCATCCTTCCCCTCCCCCGTGCCCTCCCACACACCCAAAAACAGAAGACTGAGACCACCGATACGCAGCCCACGCACACCGAGAGCATGAATCAGGCCCAGATCTCGGGGTGCTCACCCCCTGTAATGATAATCGACACATGCCAAATACAACACACCTCTCATTCCTTTGCGCTTCTCTTGCACTGCAAGGTCGTCCATGGTATCCCGATCTCGCTACCATCTGGCTTTGCTTGAATGTGCCTGCCCTTTCCGAAGCCGGTCCATTTTGCAGCCGCTGCGGTATCGCGCACAACTGAGGTCCCGCTGCTACAATCGGCACAAATGGCTCTGAGAACTGGATCGCCTTTTGTGAGAGTGTGAGGCATCGTGAGAGCACATTCGCTTGCACGGCTGCTCTCCTACTTGAGACGTCAATCGCCCGTGGACAACCACCCACGACAACGCTCATTGTGGCCTCTGTAGTGACGGGCGTCTGAAACCTCTGACTCAACGCAATGATATCAGCACTGCACACGTAGAAATAGCTTCAGAAAATAAACAACGAAGAYTATGTGGCCATGAACCCGTCCCAGTCAATGACGTTGCACAAACATTATTACATCATGTTGAATATGCTTAATCTTATGTCTAGGGCAGCAATGCAGAATGACGAATGCATCCTCAAGAAGGTTTTGCAACATATGATAAATGCAATCGAACATGGTTTTCAAAATTTAAAAATTTTAAAATACAAATGTATTTTTCTATGTTACTAATATACAATAACATTCAAGATTTTCATATTGTCATAACCAAAGCTTTGGAAGCACGAATTCAACGCTTATTACACAAAACAAAATCTGAAAATGATCCAAATATTGATAGTGGCAGCAGTTTAAAAGATAGCGATTCTGAATTACTAATGGACAATTTTATAAAAGATAATGACTATGATATGTTTTATAATATCAACACCAACGACATTTTTAAAGATCATGAAACAATATATACGACCAATGCTTTAAACAACCCATTAATATGTCCAAGTACAAAAACAGTTATATCAAATAATGAATTAAATGAAGCATCACAAATAAAAACCATTATGCACCAAACAACGATATTAATAAGAAATAAATATAAAACCATTATGAATTTTACTCTAGATCAAATAAACAATTTAAAAACAATAAAACTCAATTACAAATTTATTAAAAAATGGCTTAAAATCAAATCCTCAAATGAAGATTGACGAAATTATTTTTTTAAATCTTGAATATAAAAAAATATAAAACAAACAAAAGTAACACTTCTTTCAAATGTTTTTAGACCATAAAACATGAAATATATTAAAAAAAAAATTAAATGATTTATCCATTAATCTCGAACAACAACATAAAGCGTTTGCATTAGCTACAAAATCATTGTTATTAACTTGACAATTATAAACAACTGATTCAAAAACAGAGGAAAAAAAATAATTCGACAAAACGCAAACACAAATTTGAAAACATCAACTCTATGTAGCACACCAGAACATGTTCAGAGCTTTTTGGAACGTTCGAACATTGTTCGGGTGTTTGGCCGAACGCCTCTCGAACGTGTTCAGCCGCACATACAAAAAAGAAAACAAATCCTTTTTGTTTTTTTTGTTTTTAACTCGAATGTGGTTGCGAAGTTGAGCATACCTCCAAGGCAAAAGTTATTATTATTTTACATAACATGTATTTTTTAAAAACCTTTTTGTAATGTTTTCTTTAATATACTTTTTGTTTTCGTGAGAATCAAAATGACGTACGCAACATACTCTAGCTTTAAATTAATGTCCTCAAAAGTCGGGAGTATGCCTTCATGTTTCTACAAGAACACCAAAAAAACCCAACTCAGCTTTACGCAAAATAGCTAAAGTGAGATTAACCAATCGAAATGAGGTTATTGCATACATTCTGGGAGAAGGCCATAATTTATAAGAGCACTCTATTRTTATGGTTCAACGCAAGATGRGGACCACCGCCTATCGTGAAAGGGGGTMACKGGGAAGGACCAACCCTTGGTCAACCCCCAACMATGTCTACGAGACGCAGTTGAACGGGTTCGCGAACRTSAGGTGYGGTAGGATTAGGAACYAAWCGCGTTCAGTCAGGAAARAGAYAAYRTTTTTCTATGTATTGCATTGAATAAGAGCACACATACCACGGCTCGAAGAGCGGGAACCGGGCCACGTAGTGACAACGGCACCTGAAGCGCAATCTGCGTTCTCGTCCTACCTGACACTTGGAATCCCATTCAGGATGAGAGCACTTCGGAGGGTTTTGGCGCTCGTTCCCATTCGGTAGCAAAGATTTGTGATCATCGAACTTGAACACGATGCTACACAACATCAACTACTGATGTATTTCAGTCGAGAAGGCGGAACTAAAAAATCACATTTCGTAAATGCAATAGAAACATTTTATAAACATTGAAAAAAAAAACTACTGCAAAAATAACTCTCACACGAAAAACATCAGTCTCAATTCAACCCACCACTACCCCCGCCATTATCAATTAGGGGGCACCGGTAGCACAGGTCAACGAGGGTTACCGGTAGCACTGTGGGGGAAACTGGTTGAATGGCAAAATTAAAAAATGCGTCAAATTATTTCCACCCATCTATTTCACGGTTAGAATAATTTAATTTATTTGTTTAATAACTAATAATTTTTCTACAAAAATCGCGATAAAATTTACGGACCATAGAATTTTTAAAGTTGTTAAGTCATATTTGACTGCGCACAAAAAATTGTGAAACTTCATTACTTTTCGCATTGGCCCATAAGTGGTGGCGTAGTAAACATAAAAGATGTGACGAAACGGTGCGACATGTACTTCACGGTCTAAATAATATATTTTTTATTTTTTTGATATTTTTGTTGAAAAAATCACGACCTAATCTACAACGTCTTACTTTTTTAATTTTTTTGGTGAATTTTTATGAGTGAAAAATCGTCGAAGTTTGCGTTTGAAATATTTTGGATCGTACCCGCCTACGCCTATCAATCGTCACCCTCCCTAAGAGCTCGGTCCGTAGGGCTAGAAAGTCAATTGTAGGTCGGCGGGGGTAGTGGTGGTTTAAGGGACAAACTTTGCATAGTTCGATACACATATAAAATCTTGATAAATCAAATGCAAATAATAAAACAACCGTACATGGAGTTTGGAAATTCGAAACAGATTTGGCATGAAGTTAGTGTGCTAAGCAAATAAATGTTCGTACAAATAGATTACACACTTAGAAAAGTTCGACAAATTGATTTCTCATTTGCTGGTTTAAATATGCTTTGTGTAGGAGATCATTTTCAAATGTTGCATGTCTGAGGAATTCCATTATATTAGAAACCATCTATAAGATTAACACCTAAACCATATAATGATCCAGCATAAAACCTGTAGTTATTATTTAAAACAATAGTGATATTGAACGAAAACAATCGATTTAAAAAAGACCCTGAATGATGAAAAGGATGTAATAATGCTAAAAAGGCTTCTAGACAAAAAATTTTTATAAATATTACCAATACACTCCTTTTAACTACTTCAAACAAACATAGGGTTGCAAAAAATGGGTTAAAAGACAAGACCGCATACATATGTTTTATAAGGCAAATATATACATACTAAATGTTTTATAACGCAAATATGTTTTATAAGGCAAATATATACATACTAATAAAATAATAAATAACTCCAACATATGTCACTCCAAATAACAAAGTAAGTACTGCACTCATTCGTACACACAAAAAATACGTCAATCAAAACCTTCCAAAAAATCATTACGCTATAAAAATTTTAACATATATAAACCAACGACGATACAAACTATATAATATGACTTCCAGATAACAAATTAAATCGATATCCACCATATATCGATTTAATATCTGGCATGTCAATAATGATTACACAAAATATCGATTAAAAAAGAAGCATAGCAAATGAAACTTTTGCATATTTACACTCGATACAATTTAGTAAATCAACTAAATTTACTCACATCAATGATATTGGATCAAATACAACAGTTATAGTACGAAACCAGCAACCTGATGTACCATTTGTTGAACTTTCCCAATAACAACTATTCGATAAACTTTTGGTTCATGATACTAATTTGTTTTATAAACAATTTTAATATAAAAACATAAAAAACAATCAGAATTTTTTTTACTTGGATATATAAACAACCAACGTAGAAAATGTATTACGTCTATTACAATTGTCATTCGTATGTGAAGTTTCCACAACATGTTATAACGTACAAGAAGAAACATTAACATACTTAGTAATTGCTGATTGGTTTTCAAAATTCATTACAAAAACTAACAGACATAAATAATGTACCACAACAAACATATATTTTGATTTTTGAAGTAGTTAACAGACAAGCATTAGCAATATTGAAAGCATTCACCAATGATTTATCGTTGTTTTATAAACTTGACATATCAATCATAAAAGAAGATAAATGATTATATAAACGCGCTAACATATTATTGGCAAAAAAATATATAATTCAAATGTTTGATGAAACATTAAAAAAAATCAAACATATACTTCAGACTCAACAAATAACAATAATTACAATAATATAATCCCAATAAAAACCATAAGTAATAAAGAAAAAAAATTAAAATACAAAACTACACGAACAAAAATAAAAATATACATAGTAAATGAAATGCACAACATTAAAATATATATATATATATTATCAACGACCAAAAAAATTAAAAAAACATTCATTTATAAAAACTACTTCACACAACTGCATGGTTAGATAGCAATAATATAAATAAATACCAAAACATGATAATGGAAAACTACAAATTAGTGCTAAGAACTGATAATTTTTTTTACAAATATTGCATACAATCAAGCGATTTCACAAAAACACAACAGTATCTTGCAATAAGAATGAACAATAAACCTTTATCCACCTTCAATGATTTTTTTTTCCCATGTCATATCAATGGCAGTCATTGGACATTGGGATACATTACTTTACTACAATGTCTCATAACCTATTACGATAGGGGGAAAAAACAAATAAATAATATTTTTAAAAATACAAAAATATTTTTTTACTCAAACAAATATAGCCAACGCACAATCACTCTATATTGACGAACCAGATTAATACAATAAATTTGATTTTGGATTATTTACATTACTAATGATACGACATTTCCACAAGAATATATTAGTGACTTTACTGAAAAATATACGTTATATTATAATTCTTTCTTACATAACGAACTACAAACAAACCAACTACAAAAATATCCACACCCACATAAACAATATACACCACAAAAATGTTATTATATAATATTTTATATAATAATATCACAAAAATTTAAAAATGCAATTAAAATACCATAAAATATTTTACTACCACTTATTTAAAAAAAATCATTCAAAAAAAAATAATTAAAAAAAATAAATCAATTAATAATAATATAAATTGCCTTTTAAAAGCTCTTGCAACTTTCCATTCGACTACGTACAAATAGTTGCTATAAGTTTTTACTTCGATAAGTTTTCTAACTACCAATGAAAAAAATGTCTCTATATTTTACGATACCTTCAAAAATAGTTTCAACAAACACGAGATAGAAAAAGAGAGGAAAAAAAAAGGAAGGGAAAGAAAAAGGGAGGGAGGGGTGGGAAACTACTGGAGAGTGAGAAAAACAGAGAGAGAGAAAAAGATAAAGAGAGAGAGAGGTTGAATGGCAAAATTGAAATTAAGT